TCTTTGAAGATTTTTGTTTATTTATTTAATAAGGTTCATGTATGACACGCCTTTTATGACACCTGCTGACACATTTTATAACGTACTATAAGTTTTTACACAAATATTTATTATATATACACTGTTTCACGATTGCTTGACACGGAGGTGACACCATATGATCCCTACCGTTATCTAATTTCCTGAAGGGCATTTAGCGCTGTACACTTCATTACACCATTATTCTGTAGGCTTTTAGCCTGAGTTCAGCAGCTTTTTTCCTTTTTGGTTTTAGAAATTTTAGCTCCGGGGTCATATTAATATCTATTTTAAATTTTAATCCATCTTAATTTAGTTTTACTATTTCCGTTAGCGCAAGTTAGTTTGGTTCACTATAATAAGAATCCTAATTAAGTGAACAATCACATAAAATGTGCTAAAAAAGTGATACATTCTGTAATAAATAAGAGAGCTCCAAATGAGGTCCAAAAAATATCTCAATCTTAATGTGTTTTAAAACAACCTTCTCATGTGTTCACCCAGTGCCATAAAAATCCTCCACCTGATGGGAAGTAAAACTCATCACAATCAATATCGAGATCAAGGAGTCCAGTGCAAAACAAATATAAAGGACAACCACTGCAATGAATAACTAAAACTAGGGATCATTATGACATACTGACCAAAAATGTTAGCTGCTTGAGTGAATCTCAAACAGTCTAACAATGCAAACCCTTCCATTCCCCCATAGCTAATAATAAAAACAGATCATGCATTGGTGAAGATAAATAATTTACATTTTTTTTTTTTTAAATCAGATCCTCACTATGTCCTGGTATACATTAGGCAACTTCTCCCTAGGGAAGGCTAATGTCATCAGGCTACCCCATCCTTCGCATCATAGATTTTTCATAGAGGCCTGCATCTGTTGACTCCTCTAGTCTAATTTTTCCTGATGTGTGTACTATAGAAATTAACAAACAATTAACTGGAGAAAGCAGTGCTCTCAATGGAAAAATACAGAAGGTCTGAGTCTGACAGCTAGGACTCTGCATTCTTGGACTGGAGTGGTAAAAAAGTATCTGGCTAAGACAATAGGTAAAAAGAAGCAATGAGAAAAAGAATGTGGATACAAAAGTTATAACTTTGGCAGAAAGACATGAACTTACTTTTCAAACCACAAGGTGAGATTAGTTGTGTGCCGGATCATTTTTAAAAGGTTAGGGGAATTTATTTCTTTATCTTCTTTAGTCCATACACTGCCAACAAGTTCTGAAGACTGTACAGCCCTGTTTAAAAAAAAAAAAAAAATGTACAAGTTATAGTGAAAGGAAACACTGTGACAGGACAGAAAGTAGTTATAAATAAGTAATTGAAGGCGGTAAGACTGAACTCTCCTTAAGATGAACTGCTGTAACCACTTCCTGATCGTTCAGTTCGTTAACGACCGTTGACAGGATAGTTGTATTGATTAGTACAATGAGCACTGGTCTGTGAAGGGACCAGAAGCTTATTGAGTTGTCCCTGTTCACACCTGGGTGTTTTGACGCTCAAATCCTAGTGCGACAAAACTCTCAACACAAGAAATCCCATTAATTTCTATGGCCCCTGTTCACATCGGAGTGTTTTGTTGCAAGCTGTAAAACACTGAATGCTGGAAAAGGTACATGAGCTTCTTTCAGGCAGATTACAGCACGTTTGGCTGCATAGACTTCAATGGAAGCGCATTAAAACACGCGACACACTCGCTTTGCACATTTCTGTACGCGTTTTATGCGTATGTTTCCTCATTCACAGCAATGCATTTGCCTAAGCGTGTCTAACGCGTGTAAAAACTTGCAAAACACACAAGCACATAAACCACACAAGAAAAAAACCTGCATAAAAATGCTAGTTTCATGTGCGGAAACGCTGACGCCTAGGTGTGAACGGAGACTTACTGCTGTTGATGGGTCCCTTGGGGTCTGAGGCAGACCCTCAACAGCAGATTAGGTGGTCACAGTTTTGTGATCACAACAGGAGCTGATTGATGTGATCACAGAGCTGTGACAGTTACACAGCTGGCAGAAGCTGACTGTGATGTGTGCAGCTGGAGCCAGCTGTGTGTTTACAAACTGATACAAAGTATCCTCAGCAAAATACTGTATTTTTAGAAAAAATAGGTATCAAAGCCACCGTAAATAAAAAAAAAAAACTATATACAGCTATTCCTCACTTAACGACCAAGTTCCGTTCCTAAGACTAGGTCGTTAAACGAATTGTCGTTAAGCGAGGAATGGTATACAGTACTGTACTGTAGTGTTGGAGATGTACATTACTGTAAATATGTAAATACAGTACTTACTGAGAATAGTAGCAGAGAACGGAGTACAGTACTGAAGTCAGTGAGACGCCGCACTGCCACTGCCACATTCCTGCAGTACTGTCAGAGAGCTGGTCGTAAGTGCGAGCGGTCACTAAACAGGTAGGTTGTTAAGTGAGGAATAGCTGTATTGTCAGTTCCTTTAGGATGTTTGACTGACAGCATGCTCTTGCAGATTAAAATCTCTGACTCACATGATTCAGTTAGCCAAATATACTCCAGTGTGAAAGTCTCCCTTTCGTAGTTAGCCATTCGGTAGCTGTGATTAGAAATTGGCCATACATGCTCATCAAACTATGTGACCATAACTGACTTTAAAAGTATGTACCCCCCATCATGAACATATTTGGCTATACACATGCATGTCTAAATTAGAACAATTTGTTCATATTGCACCTGCTGACACAAATATTGGAAAATAGAACTAAAATTACCTTTGTGTCTAATAACCATCCTTGTATGGCTAGGCTTAAAGGTTTGGAAATGGGGCTTAGGATTTTTTAGATGTTTAACACTGGATTTTCTAGAAAATGTAGTGGCTGGCTTAGTGCATTTCATGCTGCACTAAACATATGTGAAGTGCTCAGGATATGACTTCTCTGCTGACACTCTGTATTTTTGAATATCTAAAAGACTTTTGATTTTGAAATCATTTGCAGTACCTGTAGAGATCAGATTCTAGTAAAGTCAGCTGACGAGCAATTTCTATGGGATGTAATGTAAGAAGGTCAAAGGTTTCCATCTGTCCCGGCCTACTAATGTGCCATTCAATTGGAGGTGGCAAGCTTTCAAATGTTATATTGTGGCTAGGCCCGTTGGCTTGGGCCTGCTTTTTTCGTAGGATGATCTTCGTGATAGATTCCACCCATTTTTTCATGGCTTTTCCTGAAAAATAAGTGAAATGTCAGCATGGGTTTTAGTTTTTGAACTTTATTTTTTTTATAATAATATTTTTTTTTCTTATTTTCTTTAAATATGCCAATATATTTACATAACTTAACCACTGACAGAAACCCTATGTATGAATCATAGGTGATTAAAAATATACTGATGTCTTGCAGGCCATAAAAAAAAAGTTATTAAAGTCCCCACTGATGTAACCCTTAAAGCAAAAATGTATCTAAATCTAATTTATTATATATATTTTAGCTTAAATTTGGTCATTTCCCATGAATTCACTAATAACGAAAAATTCTAAGCATTCTGTGACAGGTTTTTAAAGCTTTACCATGGAATATAGTAGGAGATGAAATAGCTCCTAAAATGATGCAAACAGCAAATTTGTATAGCTAGTTATCACAATACCTTGTGAACAATGTGAACAAGCCATATTGAAAACAAATTTCATTTTACTTCCTCTCCTAGAGACAGATTTTGTAAGGACAGAAGTTAGAGAAAAATTACCCAACTGGATAAAATAAGTAATACTGACCCTAACCCTCTTCCCTTTCCACTCTCTTGGGAAAAAGTTGCACTCTAAACACAAGAAGAAATTGAAGTGTCCTGCAACTATACTAACAGTAAACCTGAATTCAGGTTTTGAAATGTAGATACAAAAGGTCATACCTCTGACTGTTCCTATGAAATCTTCTAAACGCACTAATAGGTCTGCATCTCGTTCAAAGTCATAGAAGTGATGTTCGACCCAGTGTCGACAAACATTTAGAACTCTAAAAGACAGATTTTGTAAGTAAGACAGAAGTTAGATTTTTCTGTAAATAACAATGATACATTCCTGCAAAAGTGACCATTCACATACATGAGTATTATACAAGAGTGAAGTTAAAGAAGATGTGTGGTTCATTTGTGCAAATAACATAATACTATAGATAGAATAATGTTGGCGTTCCAAACATTCTTTTTGAAAAAAGTGAAGTAAAACAATAACATATTTGAAATGTTTCACAATTAATAAACTATCCGGTGCTAATGATCAATTTAGATTGAACCAAGTGATAAACAAATGGAAACAGCTGTACAAAGGGAATACAATTGAATGGGAGACCCACACTAAGTAGATTGGACTGTGGTAAATTCAAATCTAACATAATGGCAGAAATGTGCATAGCAACAACGCACACAATAATTTTCCTGCATCAGAAAGGACATACATATCCATACATATGCACATATACTATTCAGCAAAATCTTGTGCTGCTATGCAACAAAGTGAATAACACCAAAGTAATTTTTCTGTATTTCAGTTTGGCATTGAACAAAGAAGAGGAAAACCATACCGTAGCTGTACAGGTTGTACATATTCTTTCCTAAACCTTTTTAACTCTGCACTAAGGGGCTGGTCTCCATTTTCCATTGCAATTCTATCTGCTTCACTTGGTTCAGGTTCTGGAATTTCAAACCTAAATAAAAACACACAAAGCATGTTATAATAATTTCAGAAGGGTTTAAAAAATAATAGAATTCCTGTACTCATCATAAAATCCTTTTCTTGGAGTCCATTTAGGGACACAATCATTTTTAGACTGTCAGATTTTATTAATCCCTAAAGTCCCTAGCAAGAAAAACTTGTTAGTCAGCTCCTGGATAACCCACTACTAGCATACACCAGGTTTTCTTTTCTTTTTTTTTAGCAAAGTAGTGCAGAGAACATGAGCATAAACACAGAGGAGTGGGATCTGTGTCCCTCAATGGACTTTAGGAAAAGGATTTTTATTTTTTTTCCTTCTTGCCCATTGAGGGTCACAGGAATTATTAGACTTCCAAAAGTAGTCCAACAAAGGGGTAAGCAACACAGCAAGCATACACTAAAAGGCCCATGAAAACAGAAAAATGTGGCCTGACTGCTGTTTAAACAGCTAGCTGATGATACCGAAACATTCACCTGCTCAACATTTTAGAAAACAGACTTCTAGACCAGGTGGCAGCTTAGCAATTAGGGAAGCCGCTGATGCCTAAAAGCACAACAAGCACTCACAGGTCTAGTAGAGTCTGTCTTGGCAGGAAAGTGTAGAACCTGATCCTAGAAACTTGGGATGCACCAATACCGATAACAAGTATTTGGGCGAGTACTAGTACTCCCCCAAATGCTCCAATACTTACCCCCGATACCAGAACTTCCGCAATGGAAAATGGAGCCAGCTTCCCAGCCAATCAGGAAGCCGGGCGGCAGGTAATGACCCGTCACAAGGTTTCTGGGTTGGCCAGGAAGGCGTCTCTATGTTGATTGCCCAGGAAGCCGACTCCATGCTAGCGGAAGTACATGTATTGGTACTCGGTATCGGCGAGTACCGAAAAGATAAATATCGGTGCTCATACTCGATACCGAAAAACCGGTATCGGTGCATCCCTATTAGAAACTATATGCTGGAATGATAGTCTTTCTGAACCACCTAGAACAAGAAGCCAAAACACCCTTCCAGGGTTCTTAGAAATAAGCAATGACGGTCTCACAGTCCTTATCACATACAGACAATGGTGAGAACTTTTCTTTTGGTGAACTGGAATGTGACAGAGGGACAAAAGAACCAATACCTGGGTTGAGGTGAAAGGCAGAAACTACCTTTGGCACAAAGAAATTCCTGTGCCACAACACATCTTTGTCCCTGTGCAAACCAGAAAAAGTTCCTTGCAGGATAAAGCTGTCGGTTTAGACACTTTTCTCACATAGATGGCAAATATATTAAATACCACCTTATGGGTGAGAGAAGCAAAAAGGAATTACCCGATTCAAACGGCGGTTTACAAAGTGCAAAAAGAACCAGATTTAGATTCCACAGAGTCAAAGGAGAGCGGACAGTGGAGCTACATAAGAGACCCCCTTCTACAAGGTCTCAATTAAGGAGAGAAAACAAGATAGAAAGGGCAGAAACCTTACCCTTGACACTGCAAAGAGCCAAGCGTTGGTCCAGATGCAGCTGTAGGAAGAAGGGTATCAGCCCACAGAGAAACTCACACCAAGTGAAGTATGCCTTCCACGTCTGATAACAGACCTTATGGAAGTAGTTTTCCTAGTGTTTCCCTCCAGTGCAATCCGGAGAAGCAGACTAGCAAGAAGATTCAGGGGAGGAAGGAGATAGATCAGGGTGCACTGATACCACAGAGTCACCACTACTTCTGCCAGAGGAACCCTTTATCTCAAAACAAACAAACACAGGTCCTGGAATACCTCAGGATGTAGCTAAGACTACCCTGGGTCCAGGTGATGCAAGCTGAGGAAGTTCTGCCCAGGACAGAATACAATCTACTTTTTGGTTTCCCCCTGACGGTTGATGTATGCCACCACCATGGCACTGCCCAGCCGAATCCAGTATGGACGATCTTCTAGCAAGATGGTCCAATGCTGCTGAGAATTGATATAAGCTCCAGGACATTGATTTGGAAATGATCAAAAACCTCTTCGACAACCAAGTCTCCTGCATGGGCAAGATGCCTTGGACTCTGTCTAGGTACCTTATTGACTTATCCCAAGATGACAGAATGCTGAGTTGTAGAGGTCTGCAGTGAAAATGGAAAAAATAAAACTGTGTTTCTAATGGATCAATCGCAGTAGTGAAAATATCTCTTTAAAGGAAATTTGACCAGTTAGCCATGGTTTGATAAGGTACAATCATAAACATGATATGCCATTTCCAAATTTTGTAATGAAATCACTAAAAAGAGGAAAGACTTTATGATAGTATTAGGGTATAGCTGACCGCTGCAATCAGGAGAAAGTAAATTCTTAGTTTGGGCATAATAACCACAGACCAGAATTAGTTTGAATGAACCTTCCTTCAAAGAGGATATAGAATTCACACCTAATACAGATTGGCAGGTGGGTCGGACCAAAGCAGAAAAAAATCCAGTGTGTCTGTGGATCAGAGATGGTCCACAGTAGACAGCTGAACTAGACCATAATGATCCAATAGAAGTATACCTGCTAGTACATATCAAGCATAAGCACACACATTTCCATGCTTCAGTGCACGCACACATTCCCATAAAAGTCTGTGCTTACAGTCTTAAGGTAGCGGTTCACCACTGCCCAATAGGAAAATACATATATTTAATAATATAAGATGTGTCAGTTGTAGAGAGAGACATAGCTAGGCAACAAGATGCGTGTATGCTGCCCATGGTGTTTATAGAATTGTAAATCAAGGATGGCATCTTCTCTGAGATTGGTATGATTAAAGGAATTTAGTATGTTAAAGTCAACAGACATGCATTATAATTAAGAACTCCCTTTGCCTCCGAGAGCAGATATGGGGTGTTCAGATAACAAGTGTTATCTCCTTCAAGTGTCACTTGACATGCAAAAATTGCCACCTGGTTATACAATCACAGGGGATGTTTTGGTTTGTTTAGGAGTGTCAGAACTCAGGAAGATAACACCTAATTAATGTGCATGCATTCTTTTCTCAGACACAAAATGGAGCCAAACAGTTTATCAGCCACCCTTAAAAATAGTTTTTTAATATATGAAAGAGACATCAGTTGCCATCCAATCACTTTCTTGAGAAAAATATGATTGAGTTATTTGGGCCAATCAGAGTCTCCTCGTGATTGTGATTGAGGGTAACTAGGATAAAAGAGGGATAGACCAGAGTTATGGGAGGGGGAAGTGGGGACATCACAGGAAGGGAGGTCATCAGAAGGAGGACAGATGGAGAAGGCGGAACCCATAGAGTCAGGAACCTGCGTAACCCCCCTAGGACTGGAATTATACATGCATCCGACTGGCTAGTTATGAGCTAAACTGTTTATGGGTTATAATTTGTGTTGTAGAGGTATTGCTTCTTCTATGGTTTAGGAGCGGTTTTAATCTTGGATAGATGGTTTATTGATAACAACAGATTGCATTTGCCATCATTGTAATCGTTTTGTACCTATAAATCAAGCTGTACAATATATTATTTTAAACCAACAGTTTGTGGTGTGTATTTCCTAGCCGACCTTCTCCTCTCGAACAGGAAGAAGTGGGCATTGATAAATAATACGGATATTATTTATTAATATTCATATTCTTTTTTGTTTTAATCGCTCCCATTTTTCTTATAATATGTGCACATTATCACAACCCATACAGGACTGAATGTAGCACTGTATGGTCACTAAATATTAAACAAACTGCATGCCCTGGCTCTAGAAAATTGGACAAAAGGCAAATCAAAAGGCACCACTTCCTAGTAGCTACACTCTGAATTTATCAGGCAAGCAGTGAAAGCAGATGGCACTAACACAATATATTCTTCTATTAAAAAAAACACACAGAAGAACACAAAAATAATGGGTGGGAACTATGTCCCCCCCCCCCCAATATATTACAGGAGAAAAGGTGTATGTGCTATCATCCAAAAATAAATATTGATGCAAGGGAACAAGGGAAGGAACTTATAGCACACAAAAATAGTATAAAAATAAAAAATTAATTTGTTTATGCATATAGTAACATTTCCAAGAATAGACATACAAATTCTTACTTGATCACTTAAATATATGCACTCTATAGCCTGAGCCTCCTATCTTATATACATCATTTTAACATAAAAAAGGTCTACGTGTTTCATAGATCTTATTGACTTCTTCAGATTACAAATTTATGACAGCAAGAACAAAAAAAAAGAGCACGATCTCCCTTTAATCTCCTCTCCGGTCCCCGAATGCAGGAAGTGATGTATATTACATCACTTCCGCATTCAGTGTCTCTCTCCGGCAACAGATGCTGGTGAGAAGCTGCTGAAGCAGAGCTCTGCTTCATCAGCTTCTCTGGGGGTCCCTAGGTGACAAAAAAAAAAAGCATTAAAAAAATAGTCAAAAATTAAAAAAAAATGTGAAAGCCCCCCCCCCACAAACATGGTCAGGTGCACCTACATGCGAAAGCTACAATTTCGCCTATTGTGCCACACATGTTACATATCGCCGGAGTGTAATTTTAGGGCCATTAATCACTGATACACTAAACCAGGGGTAGCAAACCTCCGGCCCTCCAGCTGTGGTGGAACTACAAATCCCATGAGGAATTGCAAGATTCTCACAGCCACAGACATGACTCCCGAAGAGAGATGCATCATGGGATTTGTAGTTTCACCACAGCTGGAGGGCCAGAGGTTTGCTACCCCTGCACTAAACTGATGAGCGGTAAAAGCTTTTACAGAGTGGCCAATGGCCAATTTTGGGTGTGGTCGTTTTCTGCGATCATTGCTAGACATTGTAAGATTCTATTACTAGATGAATCATAGAAAAGAATACTTCCGTCTAAACCCAAATTTGTCTACAGAAAAGCTTGTGCCATCAAAGATATTATAGCCAGGGGTGTTGTGGACCCCCCTAGGAATAAAAACCCAGTGACATTGTTGGTTTTTATGCTTGCAGGCATTGTTACGCCTGCAGACATGTTCCTCATAATGTGTGAAAATCACAGGCGCACAGTACACAGTAACTGCTCCTGAAAATGGTCTTCCAAAAGTATATACAGGGGGGCAGCTCCTCACAGTCAAGGGAAACCGAAAATCTGATGAGGACAAAGCAAAAGGAGCGCGTCCATAGTCTACAATTGATTTATTAAGGATAAAACACATAGCTGAAAAGTACTTACAAACCAGCTTGTATAAACGAGCAGAAAGCGATATAATCTTAGGAGACCATCAAGATGAATACATGGAAATGGGGTGAGGGAAAGGAAGTGCTGGTACTAAGCCGAAGCCATCTGCATGCTGACCTCCTTCAGTTGACGCGTTTCTGAGGACAAACCTCTTTCATCAGAACCTGAATTTGATCTTAATTGCTGCATATCTAATGCCTAAACTAGTTCCCTAATTCCCCCCCGCCTTTTCTTAGGGTAGTTCTTCAGTAAGAGTTATTTTTATACCAAATATATTTGAAATTTTTTTTTGTACACTTTTTTTATACATGTATAAATATTTTTTATCACCATGTATATGTACATGATGGATTGTTTTTATATGCATTTCTGTCCCACTCCCTGCCTCTGTGCTCGTGCTGGCATATAGCTTTTAGCCACTAATGCCTGTTCGCGGTTTGCGGCATTATCTACATGTAGATGGTACAGTGTGCTTATACTGCAGTTTATACGGTACATAGAGTGTGCTTATACTATAGTTTATACGGCAGTCCTGTGTGATGTTAAATAGGTCCTGAGACCTCTGATGCTCCAGCCTCCTGACGAAAGTCACGCATAGACGTAAGGTACGAATGGGAGTCCCATTGCACCCATAGATTTGTACTGTGGTTTCTATTGGATATTTGTTTTATGCCTTTTTTTTACCTGTGACATTATGAGTACTGCTTTTATTAAATACATTTAATTTTTTGTACGATACACACTATGTCCTCTTTATATTTTGTCTCCCTTTGAAATGATGATATTTGCAAGCTGAGGAGGTTATCTGGTCTTCATTCATACAGGCTTCCTTCCCCTATTAAGAAGGGAAACGCACTTTGAGACCTAGTTCTGTGGGTCTATCTCCCCAGGTGAGCACTGTTCCAATTTTTGCATTCACTGGGTGGAGGTGAAGGTCTGTCGGGATTCTGTGGAAACTGCTTATTTGGAAGTTTGAATCTATCTAGTGGACCATCCCCTGCATTTGTTTGCACGATTATAATTGTTGCACATTGGACTTTGTTTTCATCACTACGTTCTCATCTTTTCATGTTTTTTTATGTGCTCTTTTGAATATATTTTTTAAAGCATATACTTATATATCTTGTTATATCACATAATTCACTGAATTGTATATATTTATTCAGCTCGGCACATGATTGTTATACAAATCCTGTGTATTCTCACAATTCCAGGGAAGAAAACCAACCTCCTTACAATAAGAAAGAGATTGTCAAAAAGAGGGCAGCACACTTTCTTGATTGAGATATAAGGAAGAACAACCTTCAGAAAAAAGAAGGATCCAGTCATATAACACAGTTCTCATTGAGATAAAAGGACAATGCTCCACAGGAAAAAAAGAAGGATGGGATAGAGCAGCCAGCTCCTAAAGCCTATAAATCAAAGTGATGGCAATTAGAAAGCCACCTTCTGTGACAGTTATAGAAAGTACCTCACATAAGGGCTCAAATAAAAGGCCAGGAAGGATGGACAGAACTCATGGAGCAACAGGGAGCTTGACAGGGTAGGCAATATTAGTAACACCCCAAACAAAAAACTTTAGACCAGTGGATGAGACATCAAAGGTCACTAAAACTTGAGTGCCAGAGCCAAAAGCGGACCCTTGAGGATGCAGGATGTGCAACCACTAGGAGGAGCTGTGCCTTTTGATTTGCTCAGTGTTCAACAACCTGGAAGAAGAATGTATACCCAGAGGTCTGCTGTGTCCCCTAATGAATGCTGGGGGAAACATTAACTCCACAAATTCACTTTAGTCTTTTCCAGGAATGAAACAAACGTAGCCATGACTATCCTATTGCAGAATATATATTATCCATAATCTCTGGTCAAATAACTAAATGGCGCTTTTATACTGTACCAAGGCCTGCTGCACGCTATCTCCCCATGCAACAAGCAGCCAGTTCTCTAGACTGGGCTCTGTAAATAAGGTATCAAATGCTCTAAGCATTAAAATATATTGTAAGAGGTAGAGGCATACAATATTATTATTATTATTATACCTGAAACCTACGGCTGCCATTCAGAAAAAAGTTCAATATGTTGCTAAGAAATATCACTTACCTTTCTATCAGAAGGCTCAGAAGTTCTTGAGGTTTGCAAAACGATCTATATGTCGTAAGAAATGTTCGAACAAAGTTCGGGTCTACAAAAGCAAAATTGCAGTAAACAAATTAAAATGCCTGATCGTTATCAAAAATGAAAACATCAAACAAGACTATCTAAAGTGTGTTACAAGAAGAAAAAAGACTTTGCATAAAGAGGACCTTCAGTAAGTAGTGAAGCCAAAAACTGCAATGGCAGCTCCCACATTTCTATCCCTCACTTTAACAAGGAAGCATGCAGTAAATGAGAAAGGTTATAAACTATACAATCTTAACTATATTGTGGGGGAATTTATCAAAATCTGGAACAGTTGCCCAATGGCAAACACAATCAGCTTCTCTTTTCAGTTCTCTTAAGCTTTGAAAATGAAAGATAGAAGCCGATTGGTTGCCATGCGCAGCTGCTCCATATTCTACCTGAAATAACATAAATTTATAAAAACTTGAATTGATAGAAATGACTGAAGGCCCACATATGTTATGTATATATGCACACACACACACACACACACACACAAACACCATCAATTTAAATATAACAATTCACTAAGCTTTAACTGAATTTTCAACAAAAGGACCATCAAGTACATAATACTGTATATCTCTTAAATATGTATGAAAATACTCTGTTGATAAACCATAGAAGGAATTAATTTAGAGCTAGCTACTCTAGTCTGTGTAGTCCTAGCCTTAGTTTAATAAGCCATTTACCCATAATCTATTTTGCTACTTAGAATTTTAAAGCCCATTCCCACCTTTGCAAAGGTATTTTTAAAAAACATATGCCATCAATGTACATCAATGAGTCTACATGAAGCAGACATATGCAGTTACTGTATATGAACACAGAAACTTACGTTTTTTTGTTAGCTTTCCTCTTCATATACTCATGGAAATGGCCGTCTCTGTGGTCCGCAAGCAATCTGTGTATATTACAACTGCACTCTCCACCCCCCATTTAATAATATTCATAGTCAGCCTGCTTTACAATCTAACCCCAGTATCAGAGTTTCCTGTGGAGAAAATGTTTATTTGTAGGATTCAGGCCTAATAGGTTCATAAAAAAAATAAGAAAGCCTGCAATGTGAGTGCACACATATACATCATCACTACGCCTCTACATTATCACAATAAATGCTACTCATTTACAAAGGTGGACTAAAGCAGGACCACAGCTCTCACACAAAAGCACCATCCCGACACTTCCCCACTGCGCACTGTTCTAATCAACAGCATTGTTCAGGAAATGACAGAGCTGTTGATTGGAGCAGACTGATGATTGGGAGATCCAGGCCACTGTTTCACGTGACAGCATTGGTCCGTCTCTCCAGCATGCTGCTTGTACAGTGTATTTTACACCTTGCTGCACTTAGTATATAAAAATACAAAGAAGAAAGAATAGTGGATTTATTACTGTATATGCAGCCTGATCAGTTTACAGTAATAAATATGGAGGCTTCAATTGGGCTTAAAAACTCTTATTGAATATTACCTAAATTACAGCATAGTGTGTTGCAAATTGTGTGTCAATAAATGGTTAAATCTCACAGAAGCATTAAACCTGCCATGAAATAAATACAGGGTTGTCATTGCTGACCTCTTTCTGAAAATGCTAGTTGCCTTGCTATCATGATAACTTTGCCATTTGTATCAGATGTATTATAGTAGAACTCTACCCCCATACTGCAAGGGTGAACTGCTTGTTTTGGTCTAGGGAGGAAAATAAAGGTATACTCACCCGATCCTCTGAGCCGGCTTGCTCTTAGACCGGTCCGTCCAGCCTCGCTCTTCCCCACCACGGCTGAAGCGGTCTAAGGTCCCTGAGTCATCACATTCTATACGTAGTGTATAGGATGTGAGGATGAGGGACCATTGCTGCAGTGGAGGAGGAGACAGGCAGAAATGAGCGCTGTCACAGCCGGCCGGCTCGGAGTAGGGTGAGTATATTTGTGTTATTTTCCTCCCTTGACAAAAACGAGCCCCACTGCAAGGGTAATAAAACTTTTTGGGTTTCTTCTGCTTAGAACAAGCGTTCTAATAAAATATAGTAACTATATACTAACATGCAAATAAATAAAATATATATATATATATGGATGTCTAGATACCAGTGCCGATACTTGGCATTTTCACGAGAACTACCAGGGTTGCAGCAGTTGACGCTGGGACCTGGCTCTGGCACACCACCACTGTCCTGAACTCATTAGTCTGTATTGTTTTAGAAAAGCTGCCACATTACAATAAACAAAAATGTATCCGTACTTGTATCTGTGAATACTTGGACAAGTATCAGAGATTTCAAAGCAGCTGTTCAAAAACACGACGACTGTAAGTGTTTGGGCAAAAATGTAAAGAAATGCTTTGCTGTACAATGTATGGTTGTTTGATCTGGATTCATTATTAAAAAAAAGTTTGAAAGTTTACTACTATAACGTGGGAGTGGCTTGTTATGATGTATCTAAAGAGATGTAGCGGATATTTGTTTTAAATATGCAATATTTTGTAATTTTATGTTTTTATGAAATAGTAAGCTTATGTGTGAATCTATTGCAGTAGCACCTGAAAAGTCGCAGTAACAGTTGTGTAATTAGTATATGTTTGTCCTGTTTGTTGTTGAACCTGCACACCAGAAGGTCCACATCTGGCAATCACTACCTGTAACAAAAGGCCTGAAACACAAGTGAGATAGGGGCCATTCTTCGGGGTCCAGATGCTGACTACTGAGGAAGTCCATCTGCCAATTTTCCACACCTTGAATATGTGTGGTGGAGAGGGCCAGGATGTGAATTTCTACACACAATATAATGACAGGCTATTTAGGGCTACACTTAGAGCTTTGATTTGCTTCTCCTGGAGATAGGAGAGTAGACAATTAATTTGTCAAGACGAGAACTATCAGGGAAGAACCCTAAACATAACTTAAGTCAGAAAAAACACTTTAAGAGGGTGTAATGGTGGTTCCAAAAGTTTGGTTTGATACCATGAAAACGGCCTGGCCATCAGGATGAGGTACATGGAAATGCCATACAAGGATAATCAGGGAATGGTAGGTAGACTTTTCCCCTAAGACCTGAAGGAAGAATAAAACCTGACATATTTGAAGACCAAGCTCAGGACACACATCAGCAATGAGTCACCCCTAGGTTAAAGCCCTCAGGAAAAAACTTGATAAGAACCCTGTCTAAATTGAAGGGTCAAAGGTCTAAAGCTACTTCTGGCTCCTCAGATCCCACAAAGAATCAAGGTCCATGGAACAACAGTGCAGGGATCTATCAGGATGGCAAAGAGCATTTGTCTTGGTTGAATTGGATCAAGGATGATCAGCAGAGAGGTCTACCTTGCTTGTTAAGCATGCAGGACTCTACACCACCGCATCTCTCTGTCATGAGGTCATCTCATATGTGCAAAGTTAGATTGTTTTTTCACATACATGCATACCTCGCCCCCCCCCCCTTCTACCAACCCTGTTTCTCCTGGACAGGTTGTACCCCTGATATTGGTTGCCCAGTCATCTGCGCTGTCTAGCCAAGTTTATGTTATTCCCGCTATATCGAAGTCCTCATCGAGTAGCATAAGTTCAAGCTCCTCTAATTTGTTTGCTAGACCTCTAGCATTGGTGTACATACATTTTAGGTTGGTGCTAGCAGTCTGGGTTTTATTATTACTCATTTCTGGAGCGCAAGTACTTTTTTTATTAGACCTTGGTATGGTTGATACATTAGATTGACTGGATTGACTGGAGTGAGCCCTCAATCCCCCTTTGTATTACTGCCCTCTATATTAATTGCCCCTGCAGTTACTTGCCCTATAATTATATCCATTTTTATTCCACTCCCCCCTCCATTATCAAGTTTAAGAGCTCCTCCAGTCTTTTAACCATTTTCTCCCCCAAAGTGCTGCACCTTCCCCATTTAGATGCAGCCCATCTCTGCTATAGAGCTATAGAGCTGGTAACTGACTGAAAAGTCAGCCAAGTTCTCCATGAACCCAAATCCCTCTTTTGACACTTGCTCCAAAGCCACTTGTTCAGTTCTCTCAACTCCCGCTGTCTCTCTGGAGTGGCTCATGGCACCGGCAGTATCTCAGAAAATACTACCGTGGAGGTCCTTTTCTTCAACCTAGCACCTAAGTTTTTGAACTCGCTTTTTAGGACACTCCATTTGCCTCCTATTTTGTCATTGGTGCTGATGTGCACCATGACAGCTGGGTCAGGCCCAACCCCATCCAGTAACCTGTCCATCTGTTCCGCCATGTGTCAGACACAAGCCCCCGGTAAGCAACAGACTGTTCGATGCTCACGGTCCCGATGGCAGATTACCGTCTGTCCGTCTGATAATAGAATCCCCCACCACCAAAATCTTTCTTTCCTGTCGCTCCATCCTGCTCCCATCCTTACTGGAGCAGTCACTCCCCCTGCAGATAGGGGAAGCGTCCTGCTCCAGCAATGCCACCCCTGAACTAATATCCCCAACATCCTGCAATCTGGCATATTTATTGGGGTGTATCAGTTCAGGGCTGGCCTCTCTCGCACTCTTCCATCTACTCCACCATCTAACGGTAACCCAGCTACCCACCTCAGGATCCTGCTCCTCCAAACTGCCCTCCTCTAGAACCCGATGAGTCAGATCCAGACTCCTCTCCATGTTGTTTATGCTCCGCAGTGTTGCTAGTTTTTTGCTTTAGATCCAGGATCTGGGCTTCCAAACAAACAACTAGCTCACATCTGGTGCAACACAACGCATGTTCAAGAAACACATACATTGAGCATGATGTGCACCGGGTTGCATACCCACTCATAGCATCATGTCAAGCAGCAGGAAAAGAGATGCAAAGCACACTGTTAATACAGGAAGTTGCTGACAGTGATGCAGATGGAAGGCAGCATTCACTACATAAAAAGTAATTTTTAAGCTTTGATTGCATTATCAAAAAACTATAATATGTATTCCTATTACAATGCTTATGATATGATAAAAGGATAGAATATGCTCCTTTAAACTTATAAATTCCCTAAAATATAAGGCATTTTATAGGTCTTTAA